GAGAAAGGAGGCGTGTTGAGTGTTGATGGAATGTGAAGGAGCTGGTGTGGAGGTAGAGGTTGGTTGGGGGGGAGATAATGATACGCGATCGGGGGGGAGGTGGGGGGGGAGAGCGGGTACTGCGGTAAGGATGGGTATTATTGTGACGTGGTTTCGGGGCTTCAGTGTGTGACCGTGTGCACTTTGTTGTGACAGGTTGCTAGTAGGTGTCTGTCTTTAGTCGATTTTAGTCTAGGATTGTACGGTTTTGGAGGTCTATAGTATGCCGTTCATGAAATAGTTGTTGTCGTGCAGTCGATGGCCCTATTTCCCGTAAAAATCTGTTAACATTGCTCCTCGCGCTGGTCCCTCGTAGTCGCTGGCTTTCCTTGGCGTAGGTTTAGGAAAGGTCGGCTGCTCTTACCTTTGCTTCTTCGAGGGAGATAGATCGAACCTCGTGTCTCGATTTGGTGCTGCTCTTCGCTGATGTTCCTCTGTGCCTTCATGGTGTCTTCGTGGTGATTCGCCTTCTTAGTTTGTCGGTGGAAATTCCTTCGCCCGTTCTCTTTTGGAAAGTTCGGAAAGTTCGCTCGATTCTCTTCTCCGTTCTCTCCGCTCTCTCTCTTCTTCTCCTCGCCTCCTCTTTTGGTATTGTCTTATTCTAAACTTAGGTAGCACCTCCCTCCAGCTCCTCTTTCCTCCTCTAAAAAGTTTCTCTTTTTACTAACCCCTCTTCTCGCCTGTGTTCTTCGAAGCTTTGTCTGGTTGTGAAATGTTACGCCTGGAGGCGTGACGTGATGTAGCTGCCCGTTCCCTCCTTATGCTTGTTTCTTGCTCGCTACTGGTTCGAGATTTGTTTCCTGCTAACTTGACTCACGCGCTCGTAATGATTCCTCGGCTGCTGGTGGGTCTGCTTGATGATGACGAGTTGTCATTTTTCGAACTTGGGTAGAGCTGTTCCTTCTTTCCACCCTCGAACAAAGGAAATTCGGTGGAGTAGCGTGTTTGTTTTTTCCTTGTTTTAGCTCTCCTCTTCCTCCCTCCTTTTTCCTCTTCTCTTACTCTTACTTCTCCTTCCTCCTTTTACTGTTTCCTTTGTTACCCTTCGCGGCGCATAGTCCTTTGCCCTCCCAGTATCTTCCCTGGGGCTCCTCCCTTTTTTGCGTGACTTTCTACCTCTCTCCTCTTTCCCTGCTTGTCGAGTCCTGCCCAGCTATGGAGATCGCTACGCCACGCCCGCGGGCGTGGCGTGAGGGCTCCTGTTTCCCGCCCTAATTCGAATAGAGTTGGAAGAGTCGCGCGCGACGCGCGTTTCACTTTCGCGTAGCGGGCTCTGCTGTGCGTGAGGCTGGGGCGCGAAATAGCGCAGGCGATAGCGCTAACCGAGTGGCGCTAGCGTGAAAATCATCTCCCAGTAACTTACTCGTCTCCCCCCACACTTCGCTCAGCGCCCAGCCTACTCCTACACAGCTACTACAGACTACAAAAAGACAATGCACTGTTGACATCAGCGGCAGCCCGAAGTACTTGAAGATGTCGTCCATGCAGACCATCGCCAATACAAGGTAAGTGCCCTCACATCATCATCATCATCATCCTTCACCTATCCCCTGACTACACCCACACCTGTCCTCTCTTTCACCCGAAGACCACCCCTGCACTTCACTGTAGTCCAAGCCCACCAGCTATGGTGGCTGGGCTATGGCGCTGCCCTCAGCAGCGCCCTGCTCCTCTGCACGACCGCACATGCTGCACCTCGCCTCTCAGCGCCAGTCAGCAGCCGCGAGCCTTTGCTCCAGCAGCGCTGCCGCTAGCATGCGAGTGCCTGAATGACGCTGCCTGGCCAGAGCTCTGGCCTGCTCTCGCAGCCTGGCTGGGCTGGCCTGGGCCCAGAAGCTTCCGGAAGGCCCCAGGAGGCTGCCTGGATGCAGCAGCTACTGGGCTGCTGGGCCTCGTTCGGTTGGGCGCCCAACTGTCTCTGTATGAGGCTGCGAATCACGCCCAGGGCCTGCATTCTTTGGAAAGGCCCGGTAGGCCGTGGAAATGTCTTTGTTGCTCGGCCTGTGTTTCTTTCAACCAACTGGCGCGTCGCAACTGCCTGGACCCCAAATATGAAATTGACAGTCGAGGGCCTCTTGCAAAAAGCCAGGCCCGCCTTCACTTAGGGCGGGCACCTCCGCCTTCACTTAGGGCGGGTAATGCTGCAAACAGGGCCCCATAGGCCTACCGAGGACCCTGATCCTCGCATTATTATTTTTTTTAAGAATTAGCCTTTTGGCTAAGATCAAGTGTCGTACCTGTTCTGATCAGTTTAATATCTGATCCTAAAATAGTTCAAAAAAAAAAAAAAAAAAAAGATTCGATTCTGTCCATCTGACAGTAGCTGGATTTGAACGTCGGTGACGTTCGGTCTGTACTTCAAGAGTTCATGGGTGTACCAACTGAGCTAGGGCCGTTGGTACATTCATAAGAAACATAACTCTTCCTAGGGGCAATAATCTTAGTTCGGCCAGATGGTTCACTCCATATCCCTGTATTTGACAAGGTTGAGGCCTGGACATCGTCGGAACATGAGATATCTCGCCTCCCCCCCCACCACCACCCTGCTCCAGTCCCTGGCCTACACAGCCAACTGGCATGCTCGCTGGACAGCTGACGAGGTTAGACCATCTGTAAGAATATTGCTGACTTCAGAGCTGCATTGACCATTCCCATGTGGCTTATTCTTGCTAAAGGTCATCTCGCATGATGCACATCCTGGTATAGCTCAGGCTCAGGGAACCCTGGAAGCAAAGGGTATTGCCTGAGAATGGCAGGAAATAATGGATAAAGGCCAATGCCTCAAATGTGGAATTGACGGACACGTCATTGCATGGTGTCCGCCACGACTCCCCTCTGACTCTCAAACACCTGTCGCAGAGGATGGCTCCTCTTCATCCCCTCACCCAAGTCACCGCCTTTACTTTTTCATCCACCTCGTTCACATTGGTTAGGCTCATGATAATTTCTGCAGCTGTAGCACCTCCTTAAGAAATCTCAGATTTCATCTTCTGAGGTTTTCTGATTCAATCATCTTTCGTGCTTTAGCTTCAGCCTGCGTTGAGCATGTTTCCTCATCATTAGATAAACCACAAGTACCTCTCCCTGCTTGAAAATAAAAATCGCACAGGTATATTCGGAAGCCAAGCCGGATAGGGCCGCCGTTGATAAATTTCATCGGCGCCCCGTTTTTCGTTTCGGGCCTCCGAAACTGCCCGCGGCCGATGTATGGGAAAGGTACTGGTGGTTTCAGTGTCTGAACCGCTAAGGGAAGAAAACATGTCAAAAGGAACCTCATCAGGATGGACTGTCTCAGCGAACAGAGACAATGCTGCACACCGCTCTGGCCTTTCTGAGTGTTTACTGCACAACAGGCTCAAAAACCGCTCCACAGCAGAGGTGGGAATAGAGGTGGGAATAGACACAATGGTTGTGTGATCGAGTACAAGAAAAAATTTTAATTGAGAAAGCAGCATGACCAAAGAGGACCGCAACCACGGACTCAAGAATCGTACTGTTATCCCTCCCGCCTTCACCCCAGACTACGAGTGTCGCACGGACTCGCACCCCCTTAACTAACAGCCTCAGCAAGTTCGAAATGCGGTCTCAGTGGCAGTGGAAACTCAGGAAAGACTCAATTTCGGGCTCCGATTACTATGTGTAACTTCTAACTACCCTTGATTGAAAGCTTAAACTACCAGCATCGGCACCCTTCTTCCAAAGCTTGTGGTCATGCATGTAAAGGCTGCACTTTTTGTGCACCATCCTACCCTCTCCCTCTTCTACTCCAGGAACCTCTCTGCCAATTGCCTCCCCTTTCTCTCGCCAAGAAGTCTCTCTCAAACCAGTGTGCAACACAGCTTGTCTCCTCATCACTCTGGTCAAAATGCTGCTCCCACGCTCTCTCCAAGCCTCCCCTTCTCTGGTACTGCCTCTTCAAGGCAAGCACTGCTGTCTTCCCCCGGACGTAACGCATATGCGCTCTAATAAACAAATACAACACATAGGATGCTTTCGAATACAATGCATATGCGTTCTATTTGAACAGCTCGATATTCAAATACAACGCCTTTTGTTCGGCGGAAGAGGGTAGTCCAATCAAGTCTGGAAACAATAATGAAGCAAACCTCAAGCAGCGCAGAAGTCGTCACCGTCAAGTGCATCAGTAAGAAGACACCAGGTAAGTAAAACCCTCTCTCTCCACATGGCAGATCTCACCTTCAAGGCTTCTACCCTCTGTCCTCACTCTTACTCAATTCCCTGCAGCTTTGAAGGCAGTGCCTCCCCTATACTGCCAGCAGCACCCACTGGGCAATGCCTGCCGACATATCTCTCTACTTCTGCTGGGCGCAAGGTAGTGTCCTCCGGCACATGAGTTCAGCATCAACTTGACCAGGCAAAATGAATGTCCGATGTGAGGCAGGGCCTGCTTTTTTAGTGTTCACACAGCCTTGGCCTGCCTCAGGTTGCCCCTGCAATGGCAAAGATTTCTTGATCTGTGCGGCCAATTATGGCCGTGCCCTGTGTGTGCTTGGCCCCAGCGAGTCTGGAAGTTTCTGGAAACATCGTTGTCTTCGGATTGTGTGTGATCTGTGGCCGAATTGACTCGTGAGAAAATCTTTCCCTTTTGGTCTACTGGGCCCGGGTTGCGGCCGACTGTTAACTTTCCTCAGGCCTGGGGCAACGATTCCAGTCCCTGGGGGTATTTCTTGGGCCCCGTACCCCAGCCGATTCAACCTGAGGGACATCTCAGACATCTCCTAACCCTACCTTCTTCCCCCGAATACAACGTACCGTCATTATAGCTGTATTTGGCATACATTTCAGTCTAAATACAGCTATAATGACCATGCGTTGTATTTGGGGGAAGAAGGTAGACAGCAACTTTTGACCCCAGAACTGGGACAGACCGAAAGAAATAAGCCTAGACGTCATCCTAAAGCCCTTTGTGTTTCCTTGGAATGCTGTTGGTCTGTCTGCAGATGTTGCTGCTTCGGACAGTCGTGATTGAACACTGTAAAGTTTTTAACCAGAAATTTGATGAGATTAAGAAGAGAAAGACCACCTGCATTGACAAGATCTCAGAAATAAATGGGCGGCTGTCTGAGATTCAGAAGGACTTGGGAAATTTCGAGGAGCTTTTCAAGCCCACTATACATAACGAAGAGGTACGCTAGCCATCCACAGAATGGCAATCACCACCAGCCGCTGGCGCTTTCTTCTTTCCTTTCTCGCCGGCTGTCACTTCTCCTCCTCCTCCTCCTCCTCCTCCGCCTCCGCCTCCGCCTCCGCCTCCTCCTTCTTCTTCTTCTTCTTCTTCTTCTTCTTCTTCTTCTTCTTCTTCTTCTTCTTCTTGTTGTTGCTCCTCCTCCTCCTCCTCCTCCTCCTCCTCCTCCTCCTCCTCCCTCGTCTTCGTCTTCGTCCTTGTCTTCTTCTTCTTCTTCTTCTTCTTCTTCTTCTTCTTCTTCTTCTTGGGCCCAGCATCCCATTCAAGAACATATTGAGAAACATATGCAGAACAATTTGAGCTATCGGGCCATTACCCGGCTTCGGCTAGGAATGGTAGCTATGCACATCAAACAGCCAGAGGCTGTGAAAAGACTGCAAATCTACTGAGGAAAGCTTGGATTCTATAAGCCTATTCTATAGAGATTGCAGAGCCCATTCCGCAACCTACTCATGAAATATACTAAACTCAGAAAAGCTATGAGAAAAAACCCAAACCTTTGATCCATAGGAGCTTTCAAACCGCAAACAACCTACCTTGGTGCCTTTCAGCGGGCCCAAACCTAAACGTACCTCAACCCCTATATCCCTATACCCAATCCCTACCAGGCCTCACACCCCCAACTGCCAGGTTACAGAGTGGCACGACCCTTCCCAGAGCAATCCCTGACCTGCTCGACCGACCAGCTTCGTTCTGGCCTCGTCCATTTGCAAACCTCTGGGACCAAAGACAGATGCCAGACAGGCTACCAATCATCACCATGGCTGTAGTTTTGATCCTCCAGCTCCTTCAGGCGCTGGTTGCAATCATCCAGCAAAAATCCCTCCCAACCCTACTCCGGCAAGACTTACGGCGATGTAGCCACCCTCTCCGTCGCTGCTGTGCTCTATTTGCACCCTACAGGCTAGCCCCTTCACCGCAGGGCGCATTATCACCAACCATATCAGCCAACACAACCCACTGCGGCGAACGCGAAACATTGAAGAATTTTCTTTTTGTAATTAGAAAAGCAGAAAAATCAAGAGAATCACATGCACATCACATCGCATAGGAAACATATCCTCAAAAGGCAGACTGCGCCTACTATCCCCACAAGAAGAGGGGAGGGGAGGGGACACCACCCTCTCTCCCCATGGAAATTCCGGCGCTTGTTCAAGTCTCTGCGGCATGTAAAGAGCTCACGAAATAACCCACTGGATTACCCCTTTCCCCAAAAAAAACAACCCCCTGTCCTTTCACTGCCTCCGCCGGAAGGCGCCCCCTCACCTCACCGGGCCCAGTTCAGAACAGCCCCCGAAACATCACTCCTGCTCCCTCATCTGCATACAATACCCTCTAGAGTATGCCCACACAGAGCCAAAGATCCCCCTTCCCTCCTGTCCCACCCCCTCCAAGTGAAACAGCCCACTTGCCGTATGACTTTGCTGAAGTCAGCACCCCTTGTCCTCTCTCCCCAACCGCCATGGCTGATCCAACCCAAAAATCAGTCTGGCCCAGAAAAAAATAAACCCTCAGCACCGCCCCTACCCTCTCAGAGATAACACCTCTCACCTTGTGTAACCCTAGCAGGGAGGAGCTCCAACCCTAAAGGAGATAATCCCATCAGCACCTGTGAGCCCAAACCCTACAACATCACAGACTGAGACTTAATTGTGACCAATCACATAATGGTACGATAATACGGCATTTTTTACAACAAACAGCAATCTCTGTGTTATAAGATGTATCAATGGGACGCTGGACCCGGTTTCCAGCAGGTGCCACTCCCCATCAATAGATGGAGCAACCCGGCAGATAAGCCCTCCAACCGGACGGTTCTCTTTCCACCGCCGGGATCGATGGCTTATGCAAGGGCTATTTTCGGGAAAGATAAAATAAAATAAAAAACATGGTTACGCCGGACCTGGACCCGGACCGGACCGGACCCGAAACCGGACGCACATCCGGAACGGTCCGAACATCTGGAACTCCGGACATAGCGGACGCAGACGGTCCGAAAAAAAAAAAAAAAAAAAAAAAAAAAAACTGCCAGGGTGTGTGACATTGCGTATACAGCCCTGCCGAGGGTGTTGTCATCGGTGTGACTTGTGTCAATCCTTTCACAGCACGACCAACACCCTGCACCCTCTGTTCGGGACGGGGGCTTGCTGTCACTCGTCGTGCTCCTTGCAATGGCTGGCCTCCTCTCCACCTTGCCCTTCTTGGCATCCACTTGGTCTCCGGGATCCTCCCTCCTCTAAGCCTCCTCTGCGTCTCCTGCGTCATCCACAACTCCTCCCTCCTCCACGACCCCTCTCTCTCTCTCTCTCTCTCTCTCTCTCTCTCTCTCTCTCTCTCTCTCTCTCTCTCTCTCTCTCTCT